TTGCAGAGACTTACACTTTCATGGAAATTTATTGACCCCAAATTTCAAGAGACTTAATCCCGTATGAATAGCAAATATAAGTCGGTGTACAGGTCCCGTATGAATAGCCGCTGGGTAAATGGGGGTTCATGCAAAAAACTGCAACCACTTTTCAAGGACACATTAGATTTTCAAGGACCACCTATTACCAATGGTAACAGGACTGAGTGGAGTCCAGTTCGGTCTGTAATCATACGAGTGGTTATCAAAATCGGACGACCGCGTAGCGGAAGTCTGATTTGTTTAATCACGAGTATGATTACAGACTGATTTGGACGACACAAAGTTCTATTACCAATTAATCATAACTTTAACAAAATTTGTGATATAATAGGCTATTTTTTTAATCAAAACACAAGAAATTCGAAATTTTGTTTTGCTAGCAGTGAAAAAAAAAACATTTAAGCGTGCGCGTGATGGCGCTAACTGTCCAATTACTTAGGTATGACGCGTACTGTCCTATTAAACTGTCCAATTAAGGCTGAAATCATTGCAGTTGATAGCCAATCAGATTTGACAATTTTGTTATAGTTATGATTAGGAAAATAATTTCACAGATTCTACAAAAATGCACTTTCCCAGTCCATTCTAATAAGTCTTTAAGGCTTGAACTGTTTGCTTCACCAACTTCTTTACATTTTTCAGTTCACTTGTCTTAAATTGATAGTTAATTATTGCATGAAACATTGAGCATTTTGTGTAAATAACCTTTAAATCCTTTGAGCTATGATTCATATTCTGTCTTGGACAACCAAAAAGCATCAAAAAACACTTTCCAGGCCACTACATTCAAAGTTGAAGAAAATTCAAGGACTTTTCAAGGACTTTCATAGAATTTCAAGGAAAAAAAGAAATTCAAGGACTTTTCAAGACTGTACGAACCCTGCAAATTGAAACAGATGCATATAACCAATAACCCTGTTCATGGCTTCTGCTTTGAGATCAACCACACCATCGATCATTATCGGTTGCTTCCAAAAGCAACTTTCTCCATCGATCTCGTGTTATTCAGTGGTGAAATACATATATGTTTTCACTTCTTAAATACTAAAATTGGGCGCTAAGGGGAAGACAATGTGGGTTTGTGGGCTCCTGTGATGTTTTACAACACAGGCATGTCGGCGCCTTTGAAGACACGCTATCACACGGTCAGCTCTAAAAGAATAAGCACAAACTCTGATCTCTCATGATGAAAAGCTTTTCTTATAACATCAAAGCAATAAAATAAGTACGTAAACCTACCCTTAAATCCATAGGAACTTCTACTTTGGATTCTATTCTGTACGTTTACGTTTTGAGCAGCGTTTGGTGTTATTTAGTCTCTCCTGTTTTGAGAGTTCAGTTCGCAACTTGACGTTTTCTTGCTTAAGCGTTGCGTTTTTTTCTTCCAGTTTCTTCTGGCTCTCTAAAAATGAATCCAATCTCCTGTTCATACTTTCCATATGCACAAGCTGTCTTTCTTGAGAAGGACTGCATGTAGCCATGATTCGGTTGTAAAATAGGATGCTAAAAACCAGGGCAAAAGCTCGCAACGAACACCACAACTTTTCGAAGTGAACTGATGAAGACGCCGTCAAAACAGTGATCAAACATACCGCGTTTGTAGCTGTGGACATTTGATTGGGGTTCTATTGCTGACGTACCTTTAACGTCACCAATATCTGATTTGACATGCGTGGGAGAATATTTTACGCGCATTCGCGCGCGCGTTCGTTCAAGGAGACGATCAACATGAGTTCGCTTGACTCAGACAATGAAGTTTTTTCTTTCAGTTCGAAAACTCCGGTTTCTGTGTAGGCTGTTAGCAATAAGTGTGATACTTGTGGAAAGTCATTTGCTCATTCATCTTCTTACCGATGACATACCAGAAACCAGTGTGTCCCTCGATCGCGAAAGCGCCGTCGGAAGCTTTGGTGAACAATTTAGAAGTGTTTTCAGTGTTCGTTTTAAGCTGGCACCATTTTAATTTTCAATTTTTGTGCACCTTATTCCAAAATGGCAGAAAATTTTAAGCCAAAGGCCAATACATGTATGCATGGATGGAGAAGGATAATTTCTTTTAAGGGATTGGGGAAAAGAGTGTGTAGCAGACTTAACTAGGCTTAAAAGAGGCTTCAATGGACTTGGAATAAATTCTGGAAAAGATTTAATAATAATAAATAATAAAAGTATTATTATTAAATTATCATTTCAATAATTATGATTTAATATTTTTTTTACCTTTAAATCAATAATATACGACTTAATCTGGTATTAAATTTTTGGCATATCTAAGAAAACTTTAATTTGTCCTATATCTTTCAGTCCGTTTATAATTAATGATATATTAAAGAAGACTTAAATTTGTCTTAAATCTTTCAGTCCATTTAATGGTATATTTAAGAAGAGTTTAATTTGTCTTAAATCTTTCATTCCGTTTAATGACATATTTAAGAAGACTTAAATGTAATTAAATCCTTACGGTGATTTAGGGATGTTTAAAGTGACTTAATTATATCTTAAATATAAAGCGAGTTTTAATATGCATTTAACTTAAACGTAAACATGACTTAAAATAAACTTTGCTTTTAAGTCATGTTTAATATCCTTAAATCTGACTTAAAACTATCTTCAAATTTAATACTTATTTAATTTTGCTTAAACTGGACCTAAATAAGTTATTTTGCCCAGTGAAAGAGGTGAAATTCAGGTACTGAATGGACTCGCCTTTCTCCGGGTCGGCGGTGGCTTACAGTTTGATGGCTTCGGTGCGTCCTCCGTAGAACGCGTCTTGGGGTTCGAGGCGGGCCACGAGACCTGACCCTTAGATAAACCCTTGGGTATCGTCCCGGGCTTTCTTGCATTGATTCCACTCGCACTCCCACATGGTTTGGAGAGAGTACCCAGACTGGAGGATTTCTCGGTCCCTCGCCTGGGTGAGCTGGTACAGGTCATCCGTCGTTTTGCGATCGTGCGCCCGGATTTGGCTATGACGGTTCGGGAAACAGGTGGGGCAACCATGGTAGAAACATCCATGGAATTCGTACACAGTGTTACTGTCAGGGTTGTACCCATCCACGTGAAGAGGTTTGTTGGCAATCAGGAGGGTCTGTTCACCTACATTTTTGGCATGCTCGTAGTAGGTGCTCTCCCCAATGGAGCCATTCCATGGCGGCACGGGAATGAGGCTTGCCTTTTCCTATCCAGCCAAAGCGATAGTAATGCAATGTTCGAAGGGATAAAAGTCGGCGAGGGTCTTGAATTCAGTGGTGAATTTTTGACATCCTTCTTTTAACAGCCTAACATCTGATTGGCAATAGGTCAACAGTTCATGTTGAAAATAAAACTCGTAATTTTCTGCTACACGGGCAGCGTGCCATTCCTCAAATTCTGCTTTTCTTGTCGTGCTCATGCCATCTGGATCGTAGTAGTCGTGGGCCGGTATTGGGCCCACGTACTCTTGATGGTCTTTTGTATTGAACTGATGGGGGAAAAACCACTTCTTTAGTTCTCTCAACACGAAAGCTTTCGGGAACAGGGCCAAGGCCATGGGCAGAAAATTCATGCTGTCCAGGCAATTTGAGGCTCATGGTAGACAAACTGAAAATTTTTGCGCCATTAACCAGTTGTTCTGATTTGAGTTACTGCGCGTAACATTGTTCCAAAATGAAATAGGAATCATATCCTTTGAAGTTGTGGGCGATGCAAATAACCTTTCGTTTAATGTTCCGGTTATCAGTTCGTGTGAGGGAAGTGCACCAATCCAAAAACTCTTCTAAACAATGGTCACCATGAAAGGCGAATTGTTCGTCACTTTCTCCATGTTCCGCACATGGGAGGTTGGCCACGTGCTCGCCCGTTTCCAGGCGTGCTTCAATGTCTAAGTAGACAAATAAAGGTTGCGGCAAGGACTCTGTTCCCTCTTCCTCATCGGGGCTACTAGCGTTGGCTTGGAGGGTCGCACGTCCGTCGGCGGCGCCACGGCGGGGAAGACGACTGGCTGGTTGTGGAACCTGTTCCACGATCGGCTGGATGAAACAACGGTGTTCGTCATTGGGTACGATCTCTTTACACGACGGGCATTTCCCGACCCGCAACGGTGTCTTTGGACGGTCAGGAGGCCGTGGCACAGAGTCTGGCAGGATTGGCAGCGCTTATTGGTGCTGCAGACGGTCGTCTGCGGTACGGTATGGTTGAGGAGGCACTCGGCTCCAAAGAAGGAACGGCCACAGGCGGTGCACGGGAGAGTGGCCGGTCCGCGGATTCTTCCGCGGGATCATTCAAGGCAGCGGCAATAAGAGGATCAGATTGTTTTTCAGCGACTCTAAAACTCTCCAAGAAACTTTGTTCGAGGGGCGCCAAGATAACTGCAATTAAAGATCAGCTCATTCCTGTGCTGCAGCACACTGCTTATGACAGTGTCATGATTCATGCTGGAACGAACGACTTGAATGAATCTCAGCCTGAAGATGTAATAAAGGGTCTAACTGAAATGGCAGAGGAAGCGATTAAAATTAGACCTTCGATCAAGGTGTCGGTTTCGGGGTTAATAAACCAGAGAGATGAAAATGCAAATGAGAAGATTATGCATGTAAATCACTCGATGAAAGCTGTCTGCGTCTCCAGGGGCTGGTTGTTTATTGATAATGCCCGCATCAAAGTTGAACACCTAAAGAACAAAGGTATCCACTTGAACGGTGATGGCGTGAAAATTCTAGCCTCGAATTTTATAAGGCAGACATTGAAAGCAAAGATCAAAGCAGCAAAACACAAGCGAAAGCGGGACCCTCTTTGGCTGCACAAACTCTGAACAAGATAATTCGGACCTCGTCGGCAAGTTAGATTTAGAGGGTCATTTCACATACGGCTTGTCTCCGTTAAATGCTGATCTGTTAAGTTAATTATCCAAAAATAGGAGTTTTAAGTTAGCTGCCCTTAACATTACTAGTATTCCCGGCCATATCGAGGAATTGCGGATTTATATGAATTCGAAATGTATTGATATTCTTGCGGTTAATGAAACTCGTTCTTATAATACTATATCTAGTGGCGAAGTTACAGTACCAGGCTATGCCCTGGAGAGAAATGATAGAAACAGCGACGGAGGGGGTGTCGCCCTTTATATCCGGAATACTATCAATTATGAACGCCTATTTGATCTCGAGTGCGAAAGCCTCGAGTGGATTGGCATTAAGGTAATCAAACCCAAGGCTAAATCTTTTATTGTGAGTACGTGGTATAGACCACCACGTTCTAATGTAGACGCCAAGAAGGATTTTGAACTTCTCGTTCAGCGAATCGAATCGCTGGGGCAAGAGGAAATATTTTGGGGGATTTGAATTGTAATGTGGCTGCTTGCCCACTAGAATCACATACAAAGAATCTTCTGGAAAGTTGCAACCTTTACCAATACCACCAGCTGATAAATGAACATACCCGAATCACTGAAAAATCTGCTACTACTATTGATTTATTCCTAACAAATAACAAGGAAATTTTTACCCATTCTGGGGTCTGTCACATCGGAATAAGTGACCATTCTCTTATCTATGGAGTTAAAAAATTTTGTGTTCCCAAAGGGAAACCAAAGATCGTGGAGTCGCGACAGTTTAGGAATTTTGATGCTAATTCATTCCACGCTGACCTTAGCCTAGCACCTTGGCACCTAGTTCATCTGGAAGATAATCCAAATCGTGCCTGGGAAATTTGGTCACGTCTGTCTTTAGAAATTTGTGACTTCCATGCACCAAAACGTAAAAGGAAAGTAAGAAATAATTATGCTCCCTGGCTTACACCAGAGATAAAAAGGATGATGTTTGAGAGGGACAAACTGAAAAGGGTTGCAGTTATCAACAATTCAGATGCTCTTTGGACCGAGTATAAGATTGCCCGAAACAATGTAAATGCTAATATCAGGAAAGCAAAAACTAACTACTATAAAAGGTATTTCGCAACAAATCTAGGGGATATTAAGAAATCATGGAAGGGAGTAAACTCAATATTGGGCCGAAATTTACCAACAACTGAAATAGATAGAATAGATGTTGGAGATAACTCAAGTATTACCCCATTAGAAATCTCTAATGCTCTTAATTATCACTTTACTCATATTGGGCCTAGGTTAGCCGATAATATTTCCAAAACTAGTGTTTGTTTCGAGGACTACTTTACGCCATCAAATTCTAGTTTTACCCTGAACGAGACTCACTGCGGTGTTGTTCACCGTTTAGTGAGTTCGCTTCGAGTCGACAAGGCTACAGGCCTAGATGGCATTTCTGCAAGGCTTTTAAAAGAAGCTTGCCCTGAAATCGTGCCTTCTCCCACCCATATAATTAACCTATCCATTAGGTGTGGGTATTTTCCAGACAAGTGGAAAATTTCCAAAGTATTACCTTTATATAAGGAGGATATTAAGTCTGATCCTAATAACTATAGACCTATATCTATTCTTCCAATTGTCAGTAAAATCATCGAAAAGGTTATCTTCAAACAACTTTATGAGTACCTAACTCACAATAATTTGCTGAAATTTTCTCAGCATGGCTTCAGACCGATGCATTCTACTTTGACTGCCTTGCTTGAAGCTACTAACAACAGGTACTTAAATATTGATGATGGCCTAATTAACAGTGTACTCTTTCTGGATCTTAAGAAAGCCTTTGATACGGTTGACCACAGCATATTGTTAAAAAAAACTGCAAGTTTATGGTCTAGACCCGCATGCAGTTCAGTGGTTCAAATCATACCTATCAAATCGCTTTCAGAGTACTTATGTAAATGGCACTCTATCAGACTATCTTCCTGTTAGTTATGGGGTCCCACAAGGTTCTGTACTTGGACCCTTGTTGTTTCTCATTTATATAAATGACCTACAAGAATGCGAGCTGTCATCATCTGCACTCATGTATGCTGATGACACCTCGCTTACCCTTTCCGCCTATGACCCCGCAACTCTTGAAGAAAAGTTAAACAAAGACTTGGATGAGGTTCAAAAGTGGCTGAAATCCAATAAACTCACATTAAATGGCAAAAAGACAAAATATATGATAACTGGAAGCCACTACCGACAAAGGCATTTAAATGGTGACTTAAACGTTACTGTTAATAGTCAACAATTGACTCGGGTGACTAATTATAGGTATCTGGGAATAGAGGTTGACGAGGCATTGGGGTGGCAATCCCATGTAGATAACATCTGTAAAAAGGTATCCGCAGGTATAGGGGCCTTAAAACGTATTCTTTCCCTGGTGCCTCGCCAAACCCTACTGAAAATGTTTGATGCTTTAGTCGCTCCTTTAGTCTGGGGATGTATAGGAAAAGGCCTGTGTGACCGACTCCAGAGATTGCAAAATAGGGCTGGGAGAATTATAAGATTTACTGATTATAATACAAGATCTGCGGATATCCTCCAAGACTTGAGATGGGATACCCTTGAGCAAAGACGGTGTAAACAGCTCGCAATAAGTGTTTTTAAATCTCTAAATGACCTTTATCCTGAGAGTTTAAAGAACATGTTTAAACCAACCTGCGGGGTTCACTCCTACAACGTGCGAGGTGCCTCGAACAACATTGTTGTACCCAGGCCCCGTACTGAAGCTGCTAAGAGGGCCTTTAGCTATAGGGGAGCAGTCATGTGGAATGGCCTAGAAAATGTGCTTAAAGACGAGATAAATCTCAACTCTTTCAAGTCTGCCAATCTTTGTCTTGAACCAGGGATTGCCTTGAGGGAGTTGAGATAGAATTTTATTTTAGTTATTTAATGTACCTTTAAGGTTGACTGATTTTTGTGTAATTAATTATAGGATAGATTTTCTTAATATATAGATATATTTTAGCATTAATGTAGTTTCTGAAAATTTTGTTATGTAAACGGCTCACTGGAAGAGCATTTTTAATGAAGTGATACCGTTAATAAAGCTTTATTGATTGATTGATTGATTGATTGATTGATTGACTTGCAGGGCTTCTAAACAGGTGGCGTCTTCCACGGGGTCATTCAAGGCGGCAGCAATACAAGGATCTTGTTCAACGGCTTGCAAGGCTTCCAGGCAAGCAGCGTCTTCCGCGGGATCGTTCAAGGCGGCAACGACAGGATCGGGATCCGACGCTGCCATTGAAGAAACAAAGTACGAAGGGAGCAAAAAGGCAGTCACGAAGAGGGCGAAGATGACGAAGCAGCGGGCTGCCACCCAAGAGCGCCGGGTTCGACGACGGAATTGGCTGTGACTGTAGGGTTTGAGTCTTTGGTCCGTACAATGGGATGGATCTCCGCTTTTGTCAATGGAAAGGGGAGTGAGGGCGATGCTGGAAGACAAAGGTATCCACGGCTTTGCTGGACCTGGAAGATCTGTAGCAGCAACTCAACAGGATGGAGCAAGCTCAGTTGAACTCTTGTAAACTCTTGTGAACGAGTCGAGAATGCAATGAAGCAATTAATCTCGCGCCCTGTTGTATAATCGCCGAAGAAAGTTGTTGTCTTGTGGGAGTAGACTGACGACCCCCTCATGCACGACAAAAAGAATGCATGCCCAGTACAAAAAACAAGCTATCTGTCCCCGAAACGTACCCACTAGAGCATCATTTAACCCGTTTTAGAAAAAGAAAAACATGGTAAGTGTGCACACTGTTTTTCTTTTTTTCACAAAAAAGGAAAAGGAACCAACAACAATAAAGCGATTACAATTTGAGGTAACGTTTCGCTTGCATGATTTTTTTGACAATGGCTTCGGTCCAATTCCTTTTCCTTGGCAGGGCGTTAATGGCGCGAATCTTCTTGTCATCGGCTTTCCACTTGTCCTGGAGATTACGAGCGTGCGAGTAGTCAATGTCGTGCTGCTTGGCAATGGGATCCCCCCGTTTGATGCCAGGATCTCCATGCTTTAGACGTTTTTTCAATCGGGTACCAGGCTGCATGTATTGATAACCGGGCCAGTGGAACTCGATGCCCGTTTTGGCCAACCACTTTTGCACGTCCAATCCCCGACCATGTATGCGCCGTCAACGGCGGCACAAAGGCTGCGACGAGCGACGGCCTCTAGTAGTCCTTGCCATCCAGTTTGCCTTTTTGGACCCCGTAACCCGCTGCCCCACTAATGGCCCCCGTCCCCGCCGCCTTGGCCGCTAAGATGGCGGAGGGAATGAGAAAGGGTAAAATTCCTCCTCGCTGGTAGGTTCGTGGTCGGTGTCTGATACGCGGCATCCTTGCAATGTGTTGATGGACACAGGGGTTCATCTTTGTTTTTATAGGCTCACATGATGGAACAATTGAAGGATTCGCCCGCGTCAAATCTCAAATCTCAAATCTATATTTTCACACGGTAAAAATTCATCAGGTTTTTTGTTACATATGAAGTATAAACTACATAACAATATTTAATAATAATAAATACATATCTAAAGAGTCTCTGAAAATTACGCTAAACTATACTTGTTTTCCATGAATGCCGTGTATCTAACTTACTTAACTAAAATGAAAGTTTAACAATTGCTTAAAACGATTTAGAGATTTCTCTTGCCTAAGATTGCAGGGCAGACTGTTCCAGAGAGTTGCACCTCTATCGCTAAAGCTCCTTTTTAGGTAGTTGGTTCTTGGCAAAGGGACATTCAATTTGTTGGTAGAGTCTCTTAAGACATAGCCTGACGTACTGCGCTCAGTAAACATAGAGGATAAATGGTCAGGAGCCAGATCATTAAGAGCTTTGAACACCATTAAAGCTACTTGAATTTGAGGCTGGGTGATCAGGTCTTTCCAACCAAGTTGTTGTAACAAGTAGCGAGCATCAGCATCATAGGAGGAAGTCAAAATGCGAGCAGCACGATTCTGCAGTTTTTGTAATCTTTCAGAGAGCGTTTTGCCACAATTACCCCAGACAATACTACAGTAATCGAAATGGGGTTGTACCAAGGCACTGTAGATGTAATGTAGTATTTCTGGCGAAACAAAAGGTCCAATTCGCTTTATGGCGCCAATGCCGGAGGCAATCTTTTTGGATAGTTTGTCGATGTGACTATGCCATGCTATGTTATTATCAATGAGAATCCCAAGTGATTTAGTAGTTGAAACTTGCTTTATAGCGATATTATCTATCGAAAGTTCAAGGGATTCAGATAATGTACTCAGTTTTTGTCTAGAACCAATTAACATAAACTCGGTTTTAGTTGAATTCAGAGTAAGTTTGTTGCAGAGAAACCATTTGTGGATGTTACTTAAATCACGATTCAGACTGTATTCCGTACAGACTAAGTTTGCCTAAAAGAACATCGTGATCAACGGTATCAAATGCTTTCTTTAAGTCCAGGAAAACCACTGCAGTTACATTACCGCGATCTTTATCGAGAGCCCAGCTGTCAGTCGCTTCTAAGAGAGCAGTGACAGTCGAGTGCAACGAGCGGAAACCCGATTGTTGGTTGGTGATTATCTCTTCATTAGCCAAAAAACTATACAGTTGATCATACACGATTCTCTCGAACACCTTAGCTATTATTGAGATAGCAGAGATTGGCCGATAATTATTCACATACTTTTTTCGCGTACTTTTTTCGCTTGCCACTTTTGATCTCGGCCATCCGTTTTCGGTGAATCTTTTCGGCGTTTTCCTCGAGAAGTTCGCCTAAAGCCTTGGTGATGGCATACCCCGTCTTGCCAATACCTACGAGAAGTCCCGGCGTGACCCCTCCTCACTGACTTCGACGTCGGCGGCGGAGTTGGGTCTGGCGTGTTTTCCTAGCACGGCGAGGCATCCTGAACTCTACCCATGCCAGAGGGGATGTTTGGGATTTATAGGTACCCCCTGGGTTGCACTTATCCCGCACGTTCATAGAGCTCCGTCAGTCCTTCCTCCGGTAACACGTTGGTGAAGAGATGGTACCGATCGTCTAACGCGGGATGCAAGTCCAGCATCAAATAGCCAAAAAAGGTCGTTGCGTCAGTTCACGAAAGATGTGGAGGATGTGCGACCATTCGGTCGGAAAGGCCTGCAGCGCCAAGGTTGGCATCCCTACCTGATCCCGTGAGTTTCTGAAGGCCAACATGTCATGCGCATTTCGCGAGATCGTCTTGGCAAATTTTCCAGGTGGGAACAAATCTTGACAGAGCAACATCACGCTAATATTGCGGTGATGCGAGTGCTTGGAAAAGAGGTCCAACACGCGTTTGTCGTTGACTCCTGCCTCCATGAGATCGTCTACCACAACCAACCCTCCTTGTAGTGGTCCAAACCATTGATCCAAATCTTCTGGGGTGGGAAGCCCTTCGTGAAATTGGACGTCCATCTCCTTCTTCAAATCCTCAAAAGCGGGTTGCCACGCCCCGCAACAGTAATGCTTCACCTGAGGAGGGGGTGCATCAACGTCTCGGCGTGGCGCAAAAACCCACGCGTCCAGCTCGATTTTCCGCACCCCGAGGGGCCACCCACAATCGCGTTGCTGGGGTGTTGAATCATCCTCGTTCTGTCACCACGATGGTGTACAATCGAGGGGAGGCGTCTTTTATCAGGGCCAACATCGTGTCCACCACAGCCGTTTCTGGGCAGCCTTTTAAGGTGCGGACAAATCCCTCCCAGTCGCGGTCCCAGGCTAAACGACGGGAGGTGGTGTAGTGCCGATAATCCCACGTCTCATGCAGAACGTCGACGGGATTGAGAAAAATTTCTATCAACACGCGATGGTCCAATTCTTCGAGCAGCCGACGCACCTCTTGTCGCGTTAACATCGTCAAAATATAAAACGTCGCCGCGAGCACACCCCTTTACGGAGCGCCCGCGACGACGTTGGCGTGGAACCTACCGGATTCGAACCGATGACCCTACAGCTTGCAAAGCCGCTGGTTTTACCACTGAGCTAAGGTCCCCTATTTTGTTGTTGTTTTTTTGGAGTGCAAGCAATCCGCAGCTAGACTCGGTCAAACTCTGAGCGAAGGGGTACACTATTGAGGAAAATGCCCAACTACCGGCCGAGAGAGAGAACCCTTCGTGACGGACTGGCCGCTTACGTAGATCCCCTACACCCCCTTTCTTTTCTCCTCAAATCACCCTTATATGAGCAGGCATCCCCGTCCTGCTTTCCCTTGTGGCACACGTAAAAAGACACACACAACCTGGTTTTATTTGAAAGAAGAGTTTAATCAAGAAAACATACAACATCGAGACACACAATGTTGCGATTCTATGCCATCAGGTTCGTCCAGAGGATTCTGGAGACGTTGCTGGATCCACACTCGTACGCGTTCCCCCACACGATGATCGTTCCACACGTAATCCTCATCCAGAAACGATTCCATTATCTCCAACAAGGTCCGCCCGCGCACTCTCTCTTGCAGGTACAGGAAAACATAGTGGCCACAGGACAGGCTGTCGTAGGCTTGCAGAGTCTTGTCGCTGCGCACCACGTACGTCCAATGCCGCGCAATCCACGCGTGAAACCCCGGTGCCTCGTAGACGGATAGAGGCAATCCGTAACTGCCAAATACTTTGCACACTCCTTTCTCCGTCCACACCCCCAACCAATGCTGCCCGGGTTCTACGGCAGGATGCGTGTTGACGATGTAAGCACCCCAGGTGGTCTTGGGAGGATGATGGGGGAGTCGATCGGAGGGATAGACGCCTTGGCACACGTACCACAACTCGGGGATTGCTCAATGCCACCAGTTCCATCGTCCAAGAACAAATGATGGGTCTGGAGACTTTTAATCATTGACATCGTACTGCACGGCTCCTAGGTAATCGATGTAGATGACGGATTCAAATTCTTCCCATACCAAGATGGTGACGTTGGCGTTCAGAGCTGCCCTGAATGTGATCTCCAGACGCACTCCTCCGGTCTGCTTGGGGTTGAGCAGAGGCCCATTCGCATCCCCGCTAGGCACGTTGTTCCACATGAACAGGGTGCAATTCTTATCTTGTCCCCACTCGCCCGGTTTGACCATGAACTCGCGATGCTTGCCCACCGCCCCCGCGGCTTCCAAGAAGCGGCGATACCCCATCAGATCTTTCTGGTTATTGGCACCGTTGAGTTCCAGGGCATAACAGGCCAGAGCCCCGATTTTAATGCGCGCAGGAGGAGGCCTAATCTCCACAGCAACCACCGCAAATCGGTTTTGTAATAACAGACAAGGTAATTAGTTTTAAGCATTCCTCCAGACACCTTTGGAGAGCGCCGGACACATTTCCTGTCAAGGAACTTTGTACTTCTGATTAAACGAACCAGACATCTCAAGGAAACGCGAAATTTGATCAGACTATTTGGGTATTATATATTCATTTCACGGTCGATTGAAAATTTGGTAGTCGATCTTCGGGCCTCTGGCTTCGCAATTGATAACTACAGTTTTCTCGCCGCATTTGGATTCAAATAGGCCTGATACGCTTTCAATGGTTTTTCAAGTGCTTTCTTTTAAGAAAATAGTGCTCCGATGGCTTATTTAACTTCTGTCAAGGGTAGTATGCCGTGTCAACGTTTGGTGACCTTCGAAGCGAAAACAGCGAGTCGGCGTATCAAGTTTTTACTGTGGAGCCACAAGTAGGAATACACTCTCTGCTGACACATCTTTCTCCGGTTTGGAAGGAACTCGGCGTGGAAAAGACCCTGACCAAAGAACTTTTTAAATCTTCTCTATTTGAACGTTTGAGAAAAGGCGTCAACAATGCACATTTTATAGTCGCCGGAGAAAACGAATGCGAGAGCTCGAGCTCTACTTCACATCTCCTTGAGGAACAGCAAGACCGATTATCTGATTCAATGGACGACCTTTTTGATCAAACGGCGAAGGATTCAAGTCTTTTTTCTCTGGCTTAAGACGATGTAAGCGTCGATGTGCCTCCAGTGACAAATCACTCTCCAAAAAGCCCGCCAAGCACTGTCGAAATCCCGCCAAAATCTTATTCGCTGGAAGGAGCCCAAGACGCTGGATTACTCCAGATATTCTAGCTTCCACTTCAACATCTTTGTGTTCGCTTGGGCGATCTGTATAATCAACGTCACAGATACAGTATGGTTTCTATATCAGTCATTTTAGCCTCCTTGAAATGCCAATCATAATCCAAAAATTATTATTTCAGGTTACCTTTGTATTGTTACTTGCTTTTTACTTAATAGGCCAAATTGTAGGGCTACCCTCTCCCTCAGAGCTTACAGGCGGCGCGCCCAAGATTCAGAGGTGAAGGTAGTCTTTCTTTTAAAATGTCGGTCATAATACAAATTATTTTGTAGGATGTTTTTGAACTGTCATTTGTTTCTGAAATAGGCCAAATTATGGGGCTTCCCTCTCCCTCAGAGCTTACACGCGGCGCGCCCAAGATTCTGAGGTGATGGTAGTCTCTCTTTTGAAATGTAGGTCATTATCCAAATTATTATTCTAGATCATCTTTGTTTTCTCATTTGTTTTGAAATAGGCCAAATTATGGAGCTACCCTCTCCCTCAGAGCTTACAGGCGGCGCGCCCAAGTTTCTGAGGTGATGGTAGTCTCTCTTTTGAAATGTCGGTCATTTATCCAAATGATTATTGTAGGTAATTTTTGTAGTGTCATAAATTTTTGAAATAGGCCAAATTGATTATGGGGCTACCCTCTCCCTCAGAGCTTACAGGCGGCGCGCCCAAGATTCTGAGGTGATGGTAGTCTCTCTTTTGAAATGTAGGTCATTATCCAAATTATTATTCTAGATCATCTTTGTTTTCTCATTTGTTTTGAAATATGCCAAATTATGGGGCTACCCTCTAACTCAGAGCTTACAGGCGGCGCGCCCAAGTTTCTGAGGTGATGATGGTCTCTCTTTTAAAATGTCGGTCATTTATCCAAATTATTATTGTAGGTTATTTTTGTAGTGTCATTTATTTTTGAAATAGGCCAAATTAATTATAGGGCTACCCTCTTCCTCAGAGCTTACAGGCGGCGCGCCCAAGATTCTGAGGTGGTGGTAGTCTCTCTTTTAAAATGTTGGTCATTTATCCAAATGATTATTGTAGGTAATTTTTGTAGTGTCATAAATTTTTGAAATAGGCCAAATTGATTATGGGGCTACCCTCTCCCTCAGAGCTTACAGGCGGCGCGCCCAAGATTCTGAGGTGATGGTAGTCTCTCTTTTGAAATGTAGGTCATTATCCAAATTATTATTCTAGATCATCTTTGTTTTCTCATTTGTTTTGAAATATGCCAAATTATGGGGCTACCCTCTAACTCAGAGCTTACAGGCGGCGCGCCCAAGTTTCTGAGGTGATGATGGTCTCTCTTTTAAAATGTCGGTCATTTATCCAAATTATTATTGTAGTTTATATTTGTAGTGTCATTTATTTTTGAAATAGGCCAAATTAATTATGGGGCTACCCTCTCCCTCAGAGCTGACAGGCGGCGCGCCCAAGATTCTGAGGTGATAGTAGTCTCTCTTTTAAAATGTCGATCATTTATCTAAATTATTATTGTAGGTTATTTTTGTAGTGTCATTTGTTTCTGAAATAGCCCAAATTATGGGGCTACCCTCTCCCTCAGAGCTTACAGGCGGCGCGCCCAAGTTTCTGAGGTGATGGTAGTCTCTCTTTTAAAATGTCGGTCATTTATCCAAATTATTATTGTAGTTTATATTTGTAGTGTCATTTATTTTTGAAATAGGCCAAATTAATTATGGGGCTACCCTCTCCCTCAGAGCTGACAGGCGGCGCGCCCAAGATTCTGAGGTGATAGTAGTCTCTCTTTTAAAATGTCGATCATTTATCTAAATTATTATTGTAGGTTATTTTTGTAGTGTCATTTGTTTCTGAAATAGCCCAAATTATGGGGCTACCCTCTCCCTCAGAGCTTACAGGCGGCGCGCCCAAGTTTCTGAGGTGATGGTAGTCTCTCTTTTAAAATGTCGGTCATTTATCCAAACTATTATTGTAGGTTATTTTTGTATTGTCGTTTGTTTCTGAAATAGGCCAAATTATGGGGCTACCCTCTCCCTCAGAGCTTACAGGCGGCGCGCCCAAGATTCTGAGGTGATGGTAGTCTCTCTTTTGAAATGTCGGTCATTTATCCAAATTATTATTGTAGGTTATTTTTGTAGTGTCATTTATTTTTGAAATAGTCCAAATTAATTATAGGGCTACCCTCTTCCTCAGAGCTTACAGGCGGCGCGCCCAAGATTCTGAGGTGATGGTAGTCTCTCTTTTAAAATGTTGGTCATTTATCCAAATGATTATTGTAGGTAATTTTTGTAGTGTCATAAATTTTTGAAATAGGCCAAATTGATTATGGGGCTACCCTCTCCCTCAGAGCTTACAGGCGGCGCGCCCAAGATTCTGAGGTGATGGTAGTCTCTCTTTTGAAATGTCGGTCATTTATCCAAATTATTTTTGTAGCGTCATTTGTTTTTGAAATAGGCCAAATTAATTATAGGGCTACCCTCTCCCTCAGAGCTTACAGGCGGCTCGCCCAAGTTTCTGAGGTGATGGTAGTCTCTCTTTTAAAATGTCGGTCATTTATCCAAACTATTATTGTAGGTTATTTTTGTATTGTCGTTTGTTTCTGAAATAGGCCAAATTATGAGGCTTCCCTCTCCCTCAGAGCTTAAAGGCGGCGCGCCCAAGATTCTGAGGTGATGGTAGTCTCTCTTTTGAAATTATAATTGTAGGTAATTTTTGTAGTGTCATTTGTTTTTGAAATAGGACAAATTATGGGGCTTCCCTCTCCCTCAGAGCTTACAGGCGGCGCGCCCAAGATTCTGAGGTGAAGGTTCTCTGTCTTTTAAACTTTCAGTCGTCAACCATAGTATTATTCAATTTTCATTTTCCAGAGTTCATAGTGGTACCTTCTTTATAGTTTTACGTGATTTTTGGCAAAGACAAGACCAGGCTAACAAATTTATTCTACTTTATGGGTGGTGCGACAATCACCGTGGCTGACTGGCCTCCAAAGTTCCTTTATAATTTGGACGCTTCTAGGAGTTCCTGCACTGCTTGTAATCCAGAATTGGCGATTCTCTGCAGCTTGAAGCTCTTGCATTGCATCAGTTGTTCCTTGGACGGCGACCTTTTCTTGTCTCGAGTACAATATCGATTCTCGATTCTCGACTCTCGATTACCGTATCTTGCTCGTGCAAAGTTTCGGCAACGGGACCAGTACTAAAACCATTGCAGTAAAACTGTTTGGTAGAAGAAGAGTAAAATGGTGGCTTCGGTGAGTTACCTGTCTGATGCTCGGTATATCACTGCCAAACTGCGCAACAGAATGCACGAAAAACCCCTCCGGTACTTGAAAAAAAAGAAAAAGAACCTGAGCGATGTAATTTAGTAACTTACTCATGCTGTTCAGCTTCCGGTTTATTCAGCTTATTGCCAGTTGTAGGCAAAGTTCACGCGCACATTATCGCATTCTAACTGGGTCGATTGTGAGGAAACTGTTATGTAAGTCATTGACTAAAAACCCCCACGCGTTAAGCCTTTGTGCGACGGACGTCCCTTAGAAATATAAATTCCCACACTGATCACCAATTCTACTTGCAAAGTGTTGCTGATTGAGTTGTGTAATGTATTCTAGAGTGTAAATTTAGTACTAACCTCGCAGACAAGGGTGCAATGAGACATTTATTTTGCGTAGTTAGGCCTGCTATCTATTGGGCAACCATCCCTTTTATTTTCTTTCGATAGCCTGTCCATGCACTAACCTTTGGGTACAGAAACTAGCTGCCTCTTGCTGTACCAAAACTTGATAGTTTTAGCGTTCAGTATTTTTAACGGGTGCTCACAAAACACCGGAACTGGCATCGTGCGCCTTTGGCGCTTTGGTATCCTGCGAGCTTTGGTTCATCGCGTTTTGAAAGATGGAAATTTTGATATTCCCGCGAAAAAGAAGACCGATAAAACGCATCTTTCATTGACTACAGTGGAACGCTTCGAAATGAAGCATGTTTTGAAAGAAACGGGAAAACTGATAAAAGTAAATATTTGTTTTGATAAGTGAAATTAATGAGGAATAGCCATAAACTAGTTTTGTGTTTTTGTTTTTTAAAAGCGGTTTGTCTGGTACCAGATTTGTACAATTACTTTCAATCAAACATGGATCGGGTTTTGTTAATTATGACAGAATGTAATTAAAAAGCATTATGTTGACAGCTACAAGGCACATGCTTGCCTTAAGCTGCGAGTATCCCGCCATGCTTTAAACAAAGAGCCTCTGACCAAGCCGGCATTCTAATCCGCCACAAATATGTGAAGCACGCGTCTTTCAAAGTCGCCTAGTACTTAAAATCGGGGCTCTGGCCTGTTATGGACGTACGGGTACTCTTCCCTCTCAATAAACTGTCGAACGGCGGACACTCTTTTCTTCTGGAAAGCAAACGGGTACGTTTCCTTGTCTCCGTTGAAGGCCGTGCTGTCCAAGATGCCCACGATCATGCGCTGGGGCACCTTCCCAAGAACAGGTTGTCCTCCATCCATTTGGTGGTGGTCCCGTTGAAGGAAAAGGTACGAGTCTGGCTTCTCACCACCGGATACTTGGCCCACTTCTTTTGGATCTTGCGTTGGCTTTCCAGGGATGCGTAGACGTCCGGGTTGAAACTCAGTCGGCACAGGTGAAAGGTAATGTTCACATCCTGTTCTCGCAACTGCAAGTACCGCTTCGTGCCATCATGGAGACTAGCCCAGGTGTAGAAATCGGGACTGTTGAAGTACAACTCCAAATTCATTTCCACCCCAGGCACTATGACCTTGCCCGTGTGAAACGCGGGCAGATAAGGTTGCATGACCAAGCGGACAACATTGTTGCCCCGGAAAGGCGTGGTGAGGGTCTTCAGCAGGTTTTTGTTATTATGTAGGTAACCTGCCAGCGTGCTAATGTCATCCCCACCCCCACTGGTCAACGTGGGCGGCACGTTCAAGAAACTGATTCAGCCCTGAGGCGCCAGCAGGGACTCTCCATCGTCCCGGCTGTAGTTGAGGAGGGTCTGAATATAGGCCGAGTAGGCGTAGGTGTCGGTCTATTCACTCATTAGGGCGCCATTGAATCGCAGGTTGATCTGCTTCAAGATGGTGTGGGCCAGGTTGTTGACCACGTACGTGAACCGAGTGTTGTTGGCATCCGAGGCGGCATTGGCATCCGCCACGATGCCATTGGTGGCCGACGAGTACAACCGCAGGTCGATGACAAAAAAAGTACGTTTCAAATCCGTGTAATCATCTAGGGCCGGCACGGAGAACTTCATGGGGGTAATGCTGCTGCTCAGTTTGTGGTAGGGCACCATGCGAAATCCCTGCAAACTGTAGTCGGTCTCAGGAACCGAAAAAATGTCCAAACTGCTCATGATGACGAGGACGAGGAAGAGTGTATCTCAGCGGTGGTGTCGCCGTCTTATACGCTGCACCAGGTCGTAGAGCGGCGGTTTGGGCACGCTTCGATCGATCCAGCCACCTCGCTGGGCGCGGCGTTGTCGTTGCATGGCGAGCAGCTGTCGCGTCAGGTTGTACCCCGGGGGTTTGGCCACGCTTCCACTGATCCACCCCCCTCGTTGCCCCAGGAATGGACGGTAGGGCAAGGGAGTGCCTCGCCGGGCCCATTGACGTCGAGGAATGGATTGAACTACCAACGACGCTCTTCTTCTTCCAGGCATCACACACCCAACGCGTCGCGTAGTCGTCCCACCGTGTTCCTATAGCCCTTCTTGACAGACGCTTTGGCCGACTTCTTGACCACGGTAGCCGCAATAGGCAGTGCCTTGCGTTTCACTCCTCTTCTTATCTCTTGGCGCTCGGCCTGCGTCATCCCGCGCCACGACTGCCCTTGGGCCCCAGCCCGCGCGTTGGCTTCCACGGCTTGCGCTAAAATGGGACCCCCAAACGATACAGATCCTATCGAAGTCCTCTCCTATCCTGTGGCGGCAGGGGTGGTGGACGGCACCGCGTCAGACTTCCTCCCTACATGATTTGAGACGCTCTGCCGGAGGACGCGCTTTTTTTATATGTCGCGTTTGAACATGAAAGTGATGAGGGTGCGCCCCGTACTGAACTTGACTAACCCTCCATGACTCCGGCCACTTGCACCTCCACCGTGTCCATGTACTCGCGCCGCCAGGGTAACCACTGAATGTGCAAGTGTTCAAAGTAAGCTAAGTCCTTACCTTGGCGCCGGTACTCCACTTCGCGCACCAAGGGATGCAGTTGACCGCCGATGATATTGCTATCCACCACGTCCGGGTAGACCAAGAACGTGCGCGAGGGTTCGCTCACCACCTCTCGGAACGCCACGTTCAAGTTGGTCAACACCCAGTTGATGACCTGACTCAACTGCAGGTGGTCGGTTTCCACTTTCCAAAGGTCGTGGTTGTCAATCTCCGTCTCGTTGACAGGCTTGAAATAATTACCCACCGCCCGTGCCTTCTAAATGACTTCGTAACAGAGATTGGGCCCCAAGGCGTACTTGTCCTTCCCCGTCTCCACCAGCCACCCCATACGCAGAGCCATGCTGACATGCACATGCCATTGCACGAACGACATGCCGGTCGTCAATGCGATGTCCGACTTGGTCTTGGCCAGCATGCGCAGGTCCTCGCCCTCCCATTCGTACGTGGCGCGAAACTTGTCGTAGAGCCGTTTATTCCGCCGTTGGGCTTCTCTCATCTCGTGAAACTGAGATTTTTCTACGAGGGCCTTCATCAGACTCACCCCATCCACCACGCTGGGATCGCCCGTGAGATCCTTGATCTGGATGACGGTTTCCAGGTGATACGCGATGACGTCTGTCAAGCTATTCACCACCTTAGAGGAAACCCTGAAACACTGTAGGGTTCACAGCATTCGTGAGGTCTCGCCAAGTCCAACGCGGCGTCGGGGGTCGAAATGGCCGCCAGACCCACCTTCCACCCCTCGCCCTTCAATTCCAAGGGGACAAGTAGGCGCACCTTGAACGAACTGGTGGTGTTGTCGGGGAACTCGCCCGTCTTGTCACTGACCAGCACGACGAGATTCATGGCTTGAAATGCAACGTCACTTGCGTCCCACCGTTGGAGACCAAATTCAACGAGGCTCCGTTCGTCCCGCCCACTTCCCCTTCCACAATCTCCACCGTGTCCTCGCGCACCGGTGATACTGCACGTGTTGAGGTTCCCATCAGGTGGGTCGTCTTTATACGGTAGGTCTCGCAGGAAACTAGCGATCTGATTGCCCACATACTGCTCTCGACGATATTGCAGTACACATGCACCGGACGCACCGTAAACGCCACAAAGACAAAAACTGGAGACCCGAAGCTCCTAGCAGCCGCCATTCTTGCAGGTGTGGTCCTGTGGTGTCGCACGGTATTTCTGAAGTTGTTTGCGAGCGACTTCCCAAAGATCAATTGTCTGACTCTGAAAACGGTCGTAGAATGAATAAATACAACAGCACGGTATTTCCCACCCAGTAAAGAATCGTAATTAACAGTGATTAAATTGTATCACTTCAAAAAAGATATAATAAGATAAAAGAACTTACCGATACACGGTCACTCTGGGGGAGTACGTGACGGGCCACAGTAATTAAGTTATTTTAATTCGTGTAAACATATCTTCTTCTGCTGCTTCTTCCTCGTAAAGCAAACAAGATCGAATGGGATTCTAAGTCATAAATCGCTCGTGTTTTTCCGTGGAAAGAAGAGATATTTTCCCTTAAAAATATGAAATACAAGCCTCTTAATTTTTCATATTTCACTCATCAGTTTACGCTATTTTTCGTAGAAAAATGGAATCCTTAAGTTTTCAGATTCTAAAATGAGGGGGACGTTGGGGTCTATAAAGAAAAACAAAACAAAAACAAAAAACCGCCAAAAGAATTATCCAAAACCGAAAAACCACGATAGATTTCAATCAAAACCGAAGATTTATTTAGCTCTATTTTCAAAAGGCCCCCCTCTCAAAACCCTAGTCCAGATCTCAAACGTTGGTGATATGTGGAACATACGGACTAAATGGTAAAATTGTTGAACAGCTTCCCGAAAAATCTGCCGACCGACTGTCGAGAGACAGTTCACCAACTGAAGACCAACAGTCGGAAAAACCGCAAAGAAAAACAAAACCGGAAAACCGATCTAAAAAATGGCCAAAATCCCAACGCCTCCTCTAAAATGTGATGAAGAGAGGAATCAGAATTATTCACACTTTCGTCAATCGTTAAACTGCATCTAAAATGTTTTGTAAAATCATACTGAAGCTCTTGTAATTTCTATAAGGCTCTGGTTGACCAAGGATGACCAAACAGATACAATTTTATAGCAACGCTTAGAATGCATTTCTATCTAAAAGTACTGGATGTGGATAGGCTAAAAGCGTTTTCAATGCATTTAGGAGAAAATCGTTGTTGGGTACTCCCAATGATTTATCCCCGCCAATGAAAGCAAACCTGGGAGTGGATTCTTTCTTAAGCAAGACAGAATAATGGAAAAGAGAGAGAGAGTCTTTGGGCGTTGCCCGGGATATGTAATTTTGATTAAAATTCGTCACTTTAGAAACGAGAAGGGAACTGGGCCTGATGAATATTTGCAAAGACTTATGGGGCTGTTACTGGGGACAGGGAAAATGGCTACGAAAGTTTCACTGAAAGAGTCGATGCCAATTAAAGTACATATTCATTTCAGGACCGTAAAGAGGGGGAGGGGGGTGGTTGCGACGGGTGCGCTCGCAGCACAAGAGAGCCTCTCTTCTCTGGCTGTTATGTACACATCGACTATAGCTAACATACATTGATCTGAAGAAGTCGTTGATCTGTTTGTACGAGGCACTCAAGTAGTTTTGACCTTAGGCACTGTCGAAAGATTTAGCAGATTTATAAGTTTCTTTCTTTTAAATAGTGACATTAACATTGTAATTCTCAAAAATTGCAAAATAACTTAGTCTTTTTTTAAAAAAAGAAACGTTTTTGATGTTTAAAAGTGTGACAAATACCCACGTTTTTCAAAACGCTCGTAATGCAGCCTCGGAGAGCCTAGGTTCCCCGAGAGACTTGAGCGTCCGGCGTCGTTTCGTCCGTCTCCTCGTTGAATAGCACCTCCCCGTAAAAAAACCTGGCTACGGCCCTGCATTACAACAGAATTAAGGCGATATCCCTGGGGCAAAGCTGCCTAGAAATTAAACAAGGAATGGTGACTAGTTTATCTGTTTTAAAACACTGGCTTTTATGCAGAGGCGCCAAAACTACAGGAAAAATTGCTGTGTTTAAGGAGAGAAAAAATACTCCTCAATTTTGCTTTCTGCATGCATTAGAAAAGAATTGAAATTGCCCTTACCAAATCCAACACTGTTTTGAATGTATTTATAAGCTATTTTTGAAAACCGTTTTTCACCTTTTTTGTGAAATAGGTTTTAAGAGGCCCTGACTGCAAATGTCGAGAATCCGCCGACAGGTGCAAAATTTCATAATTTATTTTATTTTACCTAAAAGACCCTTTTGGTGAACTATTTTCAAAAATGGAAATAAAAAGTTCCATCGCGCTTTGCTTTTTCCGAAAAATCCAAAAGTTCAAATTACGCCGAGGGGGGCCCCAACCCCCCGGAAAAACAATGACAAATTCTGCAACTTCGCTAACTCCGTACGCGACAACGCGTTGAATTCCCAGTTTGCTATTTTGGATATTGCTAAAAGGACCCTTTTATTTGCCTTAAAGTACTTCAATGACCCTTCATTACATTTAACGACCATACAAGCACGCCACATATCATTTCATAACGGTCGTCGATCGAGTGGACGCGTAGTCCAATAAATTGACATAAAATTTGATTCACATACACAGCGAAACTTATTACAAAGTTGAAGAGAATAGGGTAGACTTACTGTTGTTACTGTTGTTTTAGAATAACGCGATGTAATCCCAGGAGCTCCCTATCTCACTCAATTTTTCACCGAAAACGTCAACAAATTAACTGACAGACTGACAAAATAAATGATCAATGAACGGATGTGCGTCCTTGCAGTTCTTGTTTACCGTAATTCGTTCATACATTTTTTAAACTGCTGATAATGCCTATTGCTTACGTCTTTTTCTTGCCTTTAGAAGAAAAGAAATGAAGAAAAAGAAACCAATCAAGACTAAAAGAAAAACTTACGACGTTTTTCACCAAAAACTGTACTCCAATAGGAATGTCAAGCAAAAGAGTAGCACATTCTGACAATATTATCGTTTCGTTGTTCACCATGGGCTGTTGTAAGGTTCTTTCTTCTCTCAACGTTTGAGAATTCTTTTTTAACCATGAAAAACAGTTACGATAAGGCACTTGTACCATTGCGTCGAGTAAATTATTACAAACACGTCAAATTTGAGTTGCGTGATCATAAAACTTCAAGTGACGTAACCAAAAAAGTATGGATTTGGCGGGAGCCGGCAGCAAGGACCAGATATTAGGGTAACTCTCCTAAAAATCCAGTCCTGAAAACATCTCGAAATGGCTATCTCGACCTGAACCTGAGACGTACAAGAAAAGAAAAGGTCATGGTATCGGTCAATGAATTTGACCATGCTTTCCCATTTTCTACAAAACCCCATCGAAAGTAAAAGTCGAAGAATGTTGTCAAAGTCACTTGGACTCAGCTCTATAAAACGGCATAATATGTGTAAGATCTCCATTTGTGAGTGAATCTGAATGAATTTAACCAGGGTCTTACCATGCGAATACAGCCATTCAGTCCTCTCCTCTCCGCCCGCTACGAACGTTTTGTGGGTCTTCGTCTTCTAATAATAAAAAAAAACCGAAAGTAGAAAACGGACACGCGCTTCTAAAAAGCACTTGATATATGTGTGACAACCTGTAAATTGTGTTTGTGCCTTTGTATAACATAAAGATAGACTGAAAAAATTGGGGGAGAATAGAGGCTTCAAATATACATCTTACAGCCCCTTTTACGGAACTGTAGGCAGGGACCCTGGCAACATGTGAATTGTGTCTATTCGTCTTGTTAATCAGAATTGCATACCTTGTTGTATTTTGCTTTTGCTTTGGTCGAGAGTCCCATTTCGTGCGGGCTTCCAGCGATTTAAAGGGGATTTTGAGGGGGTCTTCCTTTTTTACTTTAGGTGGGGTTTTAAAGAAAATGAAGAAATTGATCAGATTCATTGATAATTGAAGATCTTGATGTTCCTTACACACGTAAGATCAGGGTAGCCGTTTCGAACTGATTTTCGTTTTTGGATCTTAGGGCTGATGAGGTCGTTTTCTAGCCACCCCCAAATGTTCATTTCCAAGCAATAGGTTAGCATCGAGCAAGCTATCCTCTTCGAGCGGTGATCAACGCGTGCGAGCCAAGACAGAGCGCGTAAGTGGCAGGTTAGGGCGACCCCGTCCCGGCCATCTAGCGTCTCCTTCTGGTGCTTACTTGCCTGTCTCCTCCGCAGAAGCATGTTTGTGTCCTAGAGGCATCATGACGACTTCGTAGCGGTCAAAATGTGTCATTCTCCGAACCCCACTCCACTGGGGTTCATGCATATGCAAGTCCATTGTTTCCCAGTATCATGTGACATTTTTGCGTCACGTGCTGTCATTAGACCGGAGCGAGCTGAACAACCGGTTTCACAATCTCAGGTATATTCGAAAGCCAGCCGTGAACAGGAAAAAACGACAAGTAAACAAATGCTGAACAGGAAGTCAACAAACACTATATACCACCGACTTGAAAATTGAGGCCAGCGACAAAGCAGGGAGGTACTTGTTTCGGTTGTATGATCGTCAGCGAGGCGATCGAAACTACATCGCTTAACTTTTTAGGATGAAGTTTTTGTTCCATTGTGATTTCGTCGAACTATGACGCTTTCTTCACATGCAAGTAAGTACACATGTTTTTCTTGCGTAAATTTTTAACGTAATTAATAACGATTGCTTAGTTTCATTTTATCAGAGAGAAATGTAAGCAGTTTTGATCGTCCCAACTGGAAGATAATGACAAACATTATACTTATACAGTATTGCATCAGCTGATTTTAAGCGAAGTTTAAGCTTATCTTTACATTAAAGATCCGAACACCGCAAGTAAACCGAAAGTTTGCAAGATCCGTACGTTTCTGGTGTAGATTACATGCCGAAATGCGTGGCTTTGTCACTGAGACACTGTGATGCTTTTGTTGTTATAGGGAGGGACTGGAGGCCATTTTGAGCTGTTTTGACAATGTAACATGTTGCTCATTTTCATTTTTGTTGTGGTAAAAACATAACTTAGGCAGCCTAGTACTGCATAATTTTAGATATGCAGAGAAGTGTACCAGGATTTCAACAAAGTTTGAAAACATCAAAGCTTGATTTGAGACTGTTCTTGTGGCTGCCATTTTGAAAGCTCAAGGGTACATATATTTAGTCATCACTGGAAGGGGATTTAAACTAACTGTATGCAATGAACCCTATAGAGGAAAACAATGCAATCAACCTCATATTATTTTTGATTTTGTTCTAGCATAGTGAACTGTATTATGACTGCTGTGGAGGAGTTGCAGGATACGACTAGTGGTTTTGGGTGGCCAGCTTCACTTAAAGTTTACAGACGTGGAGAACATGTATTTTTTGAGGTTCAAGCTGTTGTTGAGTTACTTGGAGTTGAAAAGCAAGTCAGGAAACATGGCTTTAAATTCATTGACAAGTTTCTTCGTGAAAATGGTCAGTATAGTATTTGTAGTAAAACCTATATTATTGCCGACTGGTGGTTTGAGGCCTGATCTCTGCCATCATGTTTATTGTCTCTCTTCCACCCACAATACTTGTCTCCTTAGTTGGTGATATTTTCTGCCCCTTCAATCTTAATATTAAAAGTCTTAATATTAAAAGTGTTGGTTTCCACATTTTATTACTGAGCGTCACAATTGGCTACTGCCATAGCTTTAGATGTTATAAAGTACAAAGCTGGAAAGCAGTTTACATTTCACGACGATGCCAAATCTTACTTACTTTCATTTTTGAACTGTCTTTTCTACACTAATTCAATTCATCCATTTTAGGTAGGTACTTTTTCGGTGTCCACGTCCGCTTAATAGAGGTTTCCGCTTAATAAGGGTTTCATTTAAAGTAAATAAGGGAAATAAATTTGGGGACTTCGGCTACTGTTTGCATAATAGAGGGTGTCCGCTTAATACGAGTTTTCCTGAAGTTCAATTTTTTAATTAAAATTAATTTTTCTTCTCCTTCAAAAACTCTAATAAAATGCTTGTTTTTAAATGACTGTTTTTAGGTCTCAAAGACAGCTTCATCTTCAGTAAGAATCAAAGGAACAGAGAACTCGTAAGTTATGCTGCATTTGTTATGCTGATTATCAGATATCCTGCAGCAGATGATACCACAAAAGCACTGCGGATGCTCATCTTACAGCCAATCCTACTGCCCCCACCAGCTGGTACTATTATTCAACCTCCTTCTACACCAGCCACAGTTCCACCTGCAACACCAGCCGCAGTTCAACCTCCTTCTACACCAGCCGCAGTTCAACCTCCTACGCCAGCCGCAGTTCAACCTCCTTCTACACCAGCAGCAGTTCAATCTCCTTCTACACCAGCCGCAGTTCAACCTCCTTCTACACCAGCAGCAGTTCCACCTGCAACACCAGCCGTAGTTCAACCTCCTTCTACACCAGCAGCAGTTCCACCTGCAACACCAGCCGCAGTTCAACCTCCTTCTACACCAGCTTCAGTTCCGGCTAGCCAACTACTTCCAACCCCTGCTAGACCTCCTTTAACTTCATTGAACCGTTATCAAGGTACCAAAAAGTTGGTTGAATTACAAATGAAAAGAAGAAGTGAAGAAAACTGCGGGAGGAAATTTGCTTCTAGACCACTTACCAATCGAATGAAAGAACAAAATGGAAGACTCTTTGAGCTAGCAAGAGAAGTTCACCATGGAAGCAAGGAAGACCTACTTGCGGGAATTGCTAGTTCTGTCTCAAATTCCAGTAACAAGCAGGAAAGCGAAAATGAATGGGATGGACAGTTGACTGTCCAAGACATAGTGGAACTCACAAAAATGACTCATGATAAGAAGAAAGGAAAGTCAGTTTATGAAATGCTGACAGTTGATGCTGCCGCTGAAATTCACCGTATCTCAAGCTTTCAGGTTTTAAAAATGCAAGATTCTATTAGCCAAAAAGAGACTTTTAGAAATTTAAGGAAACTTTTGCCTGGATTCATTGAGTCAGAGAGGCGTACAGACCAGTTAAGGTACAAATGGCACAAAGAATTTGAAGTTGTTCTAGAGCCGAGTAGAACTAAAACTGGTTGGCGGATAAACCCAGAAAGATTACGCAAATGTGTCTCATTTGCTTACCCGTGGCTTCAAAATGTAGACACAGAATGGTGGCGCTTATATGGCGATGCACGTAACTTTGGTGGTCAAAAGTCAGTGCTTTTGTCCCTGTCCATTCTCAACAATGAGGCCATGTTCAATGACTGCAGTTTTCAGAGTCCTGAGGAGAACTGCTGGCCAATCCACATTTTCTATGGCCCAGATTCACGACTTAATCTTGAAATCAACACTGGTGGTGGGAATGGCTATCTTAACACATGGATTGATAGCTTGGCGCAGGAAGGACACAAAACATTCGTTGCCAGTGACAATATGTTTACAAATGCTATCCTTGGAGGTGGACTGGACCCAAAGAGCAATGACAACTTCAGCATCTATGCCTTTGAGACTACTTCAACTCGCTCAGCTGTTGGTGAGAACTCTGGTTTAAGGTCCGAACTAAAGCGCCAAATTGAACGGGAGCATCCTGAGTCTCTACTTCCTGCAGTGCCAACAAATCATTTCATCCCTTGTGCAAATCATATGTTTGTCCGCATCACAGAACATTTGTTGTCTTTACGGGTTATGTCATGTCTCAATGAGGGAGTGGTTAACAACGAGAAAAGTGGAACTTTGACCAAACTTCTGTCAAACATAAACACCCGAGGGGTGCGTGGTGGCAACTTTCAACTCAAGTTTGATGGGCCAAAGTTAGAACCAATATCTTTGAATGTTTCACATGCTGAAACCATCTCTGCTCCACCTGAAGCTTTCAGCAGTACGTTTCCTCACATTTTGGATGGTGTTGCCGAAAATGAACAGTTTCCTCGGACACTGTCTTCAGGCCTTCAAACTGCACTTGGTTGGCCAACAAATACAATCACATATTATGACCTTGAAAAGAAAATTTGGGAGACACACTGGAAAATGCACGTCTTATGCCGAAAGGATCCCGATCCAAGAATGTGCGACACCTATCTACTACCTGGTTCTTCTTCTGGTTCCAAAATGGCAGCAGATTATCGATTTGGCTTGCTGGATTGTGAAATTGAAGAATACACACGTCTAGCTGATTTGCATCATGGACTGATGTTATTACGGTATGGACGTTCACGCTTGTATCCTTACTTAATGACACGAGTAAACATTGTCCCTCTCCTTCTAAAGGAACTTCCTTTCCACTCCCTGTTTCGTGGAAGTACTGAGGGTGGCGAGCACTGTCACTATCTTCACCAGTGTATTTATTATGCCCATTCATCTCGTGGTGGTGGTTGGCGTAAAGAAGAACCTATCTTGGCGTTGTTCAAGTGGACCTTCAGACGGCTTAGAGAAAAGATTGAGCAAGCAGGTCAGACTGGAGAATTCTTAAAGTTTGTGCAAAGCTGCTTCACTGACATTGGAAGAGACTACACCAAAGAATTTGATAACAACAACAGCACCCCAGAAACCATTGCACAGCCCAACAGCACCCTAGCAAGCAATGCACAGCCTGACAGCACCCTTCCAACCAATACCCAGCCAAACAGCAGCCCAGTAACCGACGAACAGCCCAGCAGCACCCTAGCAACCATTACACAGCCTAACAGCACACCAGCAACCATTACAGAGCCAAACAGCACCCCAGTGTCCAATACTGATGCTGACTATAGACGTGGAAAGACTGTGTATTTCTCAACTCACCGGGGTGGGCAAGTCAACAAGGGAATGGTTATTAACTTGACACCAAGGAAAAAACATATCAAAGTTGCAACTAGTTCAAAAGAAAGGCCAATGGATGTTGCTCTTGACCAACTTAAAGAGCCACCACTACAGCCACTGAAAAACCATAGATTCATTATATCAGGAAACATAGCTGAACGTGGTGAAAAGGAAAAGGTGAACACAGAAAAACTGGCTGAAATTATCAACAACTTGGGTGGCATCGTTTTCTCTGGGGATGTTGAGAAAGCAGCAGATGCATCGCTGATAATTATTACTTCACAAAAGGAGATCAATAAGCCAACACAAAAACTGAACAAGACTTTGGTTATGGCCTATCGCTTAGGATGGAAAATCATTTCGAAGAAACTGATTCTTGAGGCAAGGAATACAAACACTCTTCCCTCAATTTCTCACTATGAACTAGATTTAACAAGCATAAGGAATGCACCAGCCAGCAATGTGGTTCACGCAAAGGTCTTCACAAAATCTTCAATGATTAATAATCACCAAGTTGTGGGAGGCCACCGGGAACTGAAAAAGAAATTGCGCGAGTCTTCAAAAAGGAAAAATTCAGAAAATGAAATGCCACAAAAGAGCTTTCCAAAGAAGCCATGCACTGCATATGTCATGTTTTCAAAACAAATGTGGAAAAGTATAATTACGGAAAATCCTCACTTCACAATGCATGAAGTTAATTCAGTTGTTTCTGAGATGTGGAAGCAAGTGGGGAATGAGGACCGGAGTGCATACCGACAGAAAGCTTTGGAAAACTATGAACGTCGTCTGGAGCATTACAATTCTGCAAACAGGCAACCTTAACTTAATGACAATATGTTAAAGCAGTCTTTGTTCAACATGACTATGTGATAGGCACCCTATTTTCATGATAAAACACCAGATTTACAACTCAGCCTTATGGGCCCAGCATTTATTTGAATGTGGTGTTTATTAAGAAAATAGGGTATCTTGAACACTCAAGGAAGAGAAAAATATATATGATAAATAATAATAATAATATAACCTGAAAAAATATCAGTGGTCATCATTTGTAAAAAAAAGGTGCTTAATGTAACTAAGAGCAGACATTCGAGAGAGCTTTTTGTTAATCCATTTATTACAAAGTGGTTTACAATTCCAGCACTTTTGATGTAATTCTGAAGTTGAAGATCCCGCAAACCTACAAAACAGTTTTAAACACTTATTAGAGGAAATTTCTCTCTAGGTTAAGAATCTGTTTGTATATTATGTAAATTATTAATGGAATGGATGTTTTTATAAATATAATTATTTCATGGCAGAACAAATGTGAGTCAGTCTTGAGTCATTACGCCATACAGCTTAGCAAAACATAACCTGGCAAGGCCCAGTCCAGATGTTTAGCTTTTCATAGAAGTTACAAAATAATGTTTATGACAAATGTGGTTCAAACACCAATTCTTTTGTGGGGGTATTATGCAAAATTTGGAAAGTCTTATGTTTGAACTGAGTCTTGTGATATTGCCATTAACATCGAATTCCCATATGGACTAATTATACCCAAAATCTCATTATTATACTGTAATGATTCGATTTCGTGCCCGCGGTGCTCATTTACTTTTGGTACCTCAAGGGAGGGCGCAAGGGAAGGCAATGTTCAAAACAAACCTAGTTTAATATTTATCAAAAAGGGACAATAACAGAAACTGCAACAGTAACAAATATACAGTGAATGTGAATGTAATGTGGCATTACTGTGTTGCCTTTTTACATCGGTTGCAATGGAGGCTACACTTCCAGTATACACTGTCAGTATGCGATAAAAAAATTAATTACTGTAATGATTTGATTTAGTGCCCTCCTTGTGAATTCACAAGGAGGGCACTAAATCAAATCATTACAGTAATTAATTTTTTATTGCATACTGACAGTGCATACTGGAAGTGTAGCCTCCATTGCAACCGATGTAAAAAAGCGAGGCACTTGAAAGGGAAGACTTGTAACATGAATCAACGTTTTCTGCAATACAAAACAAATGCCACCTTTCCAGGTGACCAATTTACAACTTGTGCCCAGTTGTTTGAACGCCAGTTAGCGCTAACCCGCGGATAAATATTAACCCGAGTTTCTTTGTCATTTTATAATTTTCTCTATTCTTTTTAGAGGATCCAATCATCAAATTATAGGCAAATTGAATTAAACTGAATTTGCTTTTTATGCACTCGTATCTGAGTTCAAATTTTGCACTAACCCTGGATTATCTCAACCCAGCTTTGAACAACCCGCCCTTGGTTGATAAAGCCACATTTTCAGTTCCTCTTCCCTGAGACTGACAAAGCCCCCTAGTTTTTTTCAAATCTTACCCTTTATATTCATTTTTGATACAAGTAATTGATCATGTATATATAATAGGAAGCTATCACAAAACTGGGTTTTGTACCCATATATGAACCCAGTAGTTAAGCAGATCATTTTGTTAACCCAAACAAAGAGAGAAGAACAAATAATTTTCAATTCTGCTATACATTATTTTTATTTACAAAACACAAAAATGGAAATTTGTATACAATATTAAATCCTACTAAGTTATTGTCCTACTATTTACAAAAACTAATATTTATAACAACATTCAAAACAAAAAAGCAGTACAGAAGTTCTCTGTGACTTGTGATACAAATTCACTTGAGCTCAATTTAAAAAGCATGCCTAGTAAAAGTCTAGACTCAAACTAGACTTTTAAAATTAATATCAAAATTCCCCCCCCCCAAAAAAAATTGTCAGCTGAATACTATGAGCTCTAATAGTTTCACTCTACATCTAGCTTCATAATTAAGTATTTTCAAAGAATGAAAATGTACTGCTAATTATTATTACATGGACATTTGAATTTGTTAAATTCAGCTAATTTTCAACAACAAAACTTGAGTTCAAAAAAGTATTTCAAATAAAACTTGACATTATTGAGAAAGTGCCTTGCACTTCTCCCTGTAATCTGGGCTCAATGAAAATGGAGCCTCAGAATAAGAAAATGAAAACTTAAGAGTAAAATGTTTTCGGTCTAAATAAACTGTAAGCGAGGTAACAAACTTAAAATGACAATCTGCCACATCGGCACGCAATGGCTTAACATCCCAACCCTTCCCCATAATACCATCTAAAAGACTATAACCCCCAACCAAAGTGAAAGGAATTTTGAACTTGTTCACCTCAGAGAGACCAAAAATTGCCATGTCATGGAAGGGCTCAAGAGCACCAAGGCTGATGGGCTGTGCCGGTCGAGTGGCATTAAGAGAAATGCCACTCGACACAGCCTGGCGCATCTGAGCCCCCAAGGCATGGCGACGCAAGTCTCTCAGATAATGAACATTTCCAAAATTCCTTTCTTGACACACACCGACACGAGAATGACCACAAAAAACATAATTAGCGACTTGACTAGACATATTTGACAAACCAAACTGCGAACTGCTACAAGGATGAACAAATGAACATTCAACAGTGACTTGAAAATTATCCAAGAATGAAACAACTTTCCCCCCCTCAATTACACATCGAACTCCTGAAACAAAAACACTGCCACTGAGGCTAAACTTAAAAAGGCGAGTTATGATGAAAGGAAAACTACACGAGTCTACAAAATAAAGGGAACCAACTTTAAAAACTACATCATCTTGGACAATAACAGAAAATTCAAAGTTCATTTCAGCAACTGAAATCAAGGCAGCAGGTGATTCTTTGTGGTCTTGTTCACATGGAGGTGGGGATGGAGCTGGGGCTGGAGTTGATTCCTGACATACTGGTATCCTCCTTTTTTTCCGGGTTGAGACTTTCTGTGGTTCTGGCCTCTTCCGTTCAAGCTCTTCCGGGCCCACATCTACTTGAACATTGTTTGCCAATGTAACTTTGATGAAACCTCTGATGGGATCTACCTCGTTCACCACTGCTTCAATCTCGCCCATCCAGAGAACATCATCCCTCATTGTTTTTGAGATTTGTGGATTCTAAAAACAAAACATAGCCTAGTAAGATTTGGTTCAATGATGCTGTACAATCTTTTATTTCCAACTAAATTTCTTACAAACAAAGGAAACTACATGTGCAATGACTCTGTGCAGTACTGAAATCTAGTCCTAAAAGTCACATGACTTGAAAAATGTGTAAACAAACTACGCATTGAGCTTGCATCCATCTACTTGAATTAAAGCAAGCTATTATGATGAATCGATATGTTTCTTATTACTTGACAGTGTTAAGTACTCATTTATCATATTTCAAACAAACAGAAGCAAGTATTTCTAAAATTTGATCATTTGAGCAGTTAGACTTTCGCCACGCAAGCTACCGATCGCGAGCGTAGTAAACCTCTATACAGTCTCGTAATAATCCGAGTCATTTGTCCGATCACATTCGATTCCACTTCGTTTTTGCTTACTTGAACTAAAAAAATTAACTAGCAGTTAATCTCACCTTGCTGGAATAACTTGAACGTTTTCGTTTCGCTTCAAACGGAGTTACATTTCGGATCTCATGTGGATCACAAATGCGGCGGTTCCACTCGGCGTTCCATCCATCGAAAGAGACGGTCACCCCTTCTTCGGTTTTTGAAAGAACCGTACACCGACACCAAACTCCACACTCATCTACCGCTTCTGCTTTGCAGCCTTCGAGGAATTTTTCAAACGCCATTTCACAAGTAATCTTCGCTTCACAGACTCAGAACTGGTTTGATCGATCACCGAAACCGGACTTGTTATCTTTGGTTCAGTGAAAAGCCCGCATTTGGTTGCTACGATACTAGTTGGGTCTCAGACTCCCTCGGTAGTATTAGCACCAAACTGCGCATGTGTAGCAAAATTTATGCATGAATAATGAATTACACAGTTTGACCGCGTTGAAGTCCTAATGAAGAAAGGCACGCGAGAGACGATTGGACGAACCTAAAACACTCTTACCATTTTCTTTTCTTTTTAATTTTTTGCTATTATTACTGGAATACCAAGCGGGAGCCTCTGCAGAGGAGAGAGGCGAGGGGCACCAGAAAGAGAAACGCGAAATGACTGGGGTGCGGTCGCTCCGGTTTAGCGCTCTTTGATGGCTCGCATCGCTCACCGCTCGAAGAGAATAGCTCGCTTGAGCCTACCCTTTGCCAAGGTGCAGCTGTACCCTCTGCCTTTTTGTTTTTTTTCCCTGGGGGAAGGATACGGCCACGTACGCTAAGCTACCTTCTTTCTACGCCTCTATTCTGAGTTCAGTTAAGCGAACCCTATACCTGTCACTGATCAAAACAATTTTATCTTCAATATCCTTTTGTCATGAATATGTATTTCGGGGCATTTCGGTTTTTCAAGTGACAAGGATGATCGATTGATGGCAATTTTTTTTGGTTTACTTCCGTCCGGGTTATCTAACATTTTCAAAAAAGTCCTTGGTTTAGGGGTATCCCAGAGCCGATGTACCCGGGTGTACTTTGAAAGGGGTTTACTACCATGTCCCAATTAGAAGACAAGGTTTCGCTGGTTGATAAGACGAAAGTTGACTCACTGCTACTAATTTCACAGTCCCCTTTAGCTGTAGAGGACTTAAATATGTCCTGTAGTCTAGGTTAAAACATCCATCTGGTCAAATGATGTTCTCCAGCCAACTCCGTAGGACGGTTACGTCACGTAATGTTATAACACAAAGACACAAAGATTATATATAACACAAAGATTTGACGTGTTTGTAATATTTTACTTGACGCAATCAGGTACTAGTGCCTTTTCGAAAGAGTGTTCTTCACGGTTAAAAGAGAAATCTCAAACGAAAAATTCTGCTGAAAAAGTTGAAAAATAGGAAAAACCTTACAACAACGAGTCGATAATGTTGTCAGAATGTGCAACTCTTTTGCGTGACATTCGTTTTGGAATACGGTTTTTTGGTGAAAAAGGTGGTAGGTTTTTCTTTTACCCTTGACCGGTTTCTTTTTCTTCATTTCTTTTCTTCCACAGGCAAGACGTAAGCAATTGTCATTTAATATCAGCAGTTTAAAAAGTATGGACGAACTACGGTAAGCAAGAACTGCAAGGACGCATACCTTCATTGATCATTTGTTTTGTCAGTTTGTTTTATTAGCGTTTTCGGTGAAAACTTGAGTGAGATAGGGAGCTCCTGGGATTTAATACATCGAGTTATTCTAAAACAAGAGTAACAACAGTAAGTCTACCCTATTCTCTTCAACTTTGTAATAAGCCTCGCTGTGTATGTGAATCAAATTTTATGTCAATTTATTGCACTACGCATCAACGCGATCGACGACCGTTATCGTTCGGTTAGATCTAAGATAAATAAAGTGATATGTGGCGTGCTTGTATGATCGTTAAATGTAATGAAAGGTCATTGAAGTACTTTAAGGTGCTCTTTGCTGACATTTTCAATCAGAAGAGAAAAAAGATGCATTATTTGCAAACTGAAGGATTGGCCGTGACCTCTTGCGTGACATCCGCTCAGCAATTTGCATTGAATTTTTAGGTCAAAATAGCCCGAACTCTTTTTAAACTGGATGCGCTAATTTTTGCGGGCCAAAAACGACAGTTGGAGGTAATGATCTACAAGGATAAAGCTTTCACCTGATGTACAATATGACACGTAAATTTATATACTATGATTTTTATAGGCCTTTAAAGTTGGCCTTTATTTCACCTCAACCCAAAAGATTGAAAGTGGGTTATTTCAACGGGTTTTTATGTTGTCTTAGACGTAACAAAATTACATAAAATTTACATTTTTTAAAAGACAAATAAAAGGGTCCTTTTAGCAATATCCAAAATAGCAAACTGGGAATTCAACGCGTTGTCGCGTACGGAGTTAGCGAAGTTGCAGAATTTGTCATTGTTTTTCCGGGGGGTTGGGGCCCCCCTCGGCGTAATTTGAACTTTTGGATTTTTCGGAAAAAGCAAAGCGCGATGGAACTTTTTATTTTCATTTTTGAAAATAGTTCACCAAAAGGGTCTTTTAGGTAGAATAAAATCAATTATGAAATTTTGCAACTGTCGGCGGATTCTCGATATTTACAGTCAGGGCCTCTTAAATAGGTTGAAAAGCGTATTTTTAATGTATTTTTCGACTGCTTTTAAAGGTGTTTTGACCTGCCCTTACCAAACCATATGTATTTTGAAACTGATTTTAAAGTGTTTAAAATGTATTTTCAGTATTTGAATACTATTTTCCTATATTTTAATCCTATTTGACAAAAAAATTTAAATTTTCGCCCCTGTTTGGAATATATCTTAAGTGTAGTTAAATTATATTTCATCAAAAGGAAAACCTCTCTCATCAATTTACAATGTATTTTGTTTAATAAATATGATTAAAATAGGGTGTTTCAAATGTATTTTGGGCATAGAACCACTAACACTGTTACAAACAGAGTTCAAATAGACTATTTGAAATATGTTTTAAGGGCTTAAATGCGACGGTTTTTTAAATACTTTTAAATAGGGTGCTTTAACACTGTTTTGAGTTGCATCTGCAATGTATTTTGAGGCGCATCCACTCACAAAGTTACAAACATAATTCAAATAGAGTATTTAAAATATGTTTTGAGAACCTAAATGCTGACCGTATCTTAAATACTTTTAAATAGGGTATTTTAACACTGTTTTGAGTTGTATCGAAAATGTATTTTGAGACGCATCCACTCACAAAGTTACAAACAGAGTTCAAATAGACTATTTGAAATATGTTTTAAGTCCTTAACTACTGACCGCATTTCAAATACTTTTAAATAGGGTACTTAAACACTGTTTTGAGGTCTATTTGAATTGTATTTTGGGCACACAACACTCTGACTATAAAAACAGATTGTACATAAAATATTTAAAGTCTGCTGAAAGACATCAAATGCTGACCTTATTTTAAATACTTTAAAATAGAGTACTTATTACTTATTATTATTGAGGTGCAATATTGTAATGTATTTTGGGATACTTATACTCAGACTATAAAAGTAACAATTGCACAAAGTTAATTTTTAAGCCTTCATCGTGTCACGAACTCATAAATGACTCAAAACAAGCTGTCATATTGTGGACCGGATTCTTCTCTCAATAAAGATCGAGGCGGAGCCAAAAATTAAATCTCCCAGCAAATCAAAAAGAAATTGAAAAAAGAGAAGAAAATTAGTAATAGATTTTAGCTTTGACTGACAACACGTAACTGTGACAGTGTGCCGATAAAGGATCAATCCGTTCCTCAATGTTCATTACCTGCAAGCTCTCTGCGAAAATCTCCGCCTAGATTTTAGCCGTGATTCAATTAATGCAGCTACGGGACATTCCATAAGTTTTTTTAAAAGAAAATTCTTAAAATCACATTTTAATTTTCATGTAGAAATTTTTCACAAACAGCCGAAGCCGCGGGCCGAGAACCGGATGCACGCGGTCAATTGAGATTTGTCTAAAATAAGTCCTTGAAATTTCATAATAATTAAAACAAACTGTCCAAGCTAAGATCTCACCTCGTATATATTGCACTAAGAAACAACGCTCAGATCTGAATAAACTCCGACATATGGTTATCTTTCTCTCATAGACTATTCCGCACATGCATGGCATATTATTTTTGAGATGTCACGCGCGACTGAAATCACGACTTCGCGCCGCGGTGATGTGACAAATGCACGTGATAAGCAAACCGTCCTTTGTCCTTTGCTCATTTCAAATTATTGAACCGGCGGTTGCTCCCGGGCGGTTGCTGTGAGCTTAAATGCGCTTGATTTTACTGTTTGTTACGATCTTACAAAAGTACACTCCAACTCTGCGGATTGTCGGAACACGTAGATGTTGCTTTTATCACGAATCAAAAATGGTTATGACTCCTCAGCGACTGTTATGTACTTTGAAACGTTCTGGTTCAGGAGAAGAGTCCAAGAGTCTAATTGTAAGTATTAAATATACAATGTTACTAAGACGCTTAGATATACGCCATATGAGAAACAAATGAAGGGTAGTAAACATTTATATAGTCGCGCCCGTACGGCAATTTTACTTTTTACAGGATTCCTTGCAGAGACTCGTTGTTTTGTATGATCTCAGTCACTTGATGTCACGTCACTGGCCTCTTTCATTCTCGCGTAAATTTATTCGTATGCTGTTCTTTATCAGCCACTAATTAATGTTCAGGCGTAGCCTGCATTAAGCTTCTGATGATATTTGAGTAAAGCCGTGAATATAATAAACAATGTAAGTTACATGCATGTAGATTAATATTTACCGGTAACGTCAGTAACGTTATACCCTTTTGAAGCCAAAGGTTGATAGCCTGTGTACATACCCCCCCCTCTCCCCTCCGAGTTTTATTGAGGGAAGGGGTCTGTACACAGGGTAAAGATTGATTTGAGCATTTCTGAAAAATTCCATAAGAATTTCCCGAGAATTCTTAGGGAAATCAACGTAAAGTAATCGGCCAAGAGATAATTCTCTTGAAGTCCTAGCCTAGGACTGTGTGGCGAAATTTCGCCGAGGTAAATCTTGCTTTTTCAGGGTAATTTTCGACGGTTTTGTATTCATTTTATTTCATGAATTTAAATGGTATTTCCATCCTGTTTTTGTACTATTTTTATGCTCTTTCGACCGATTTTTATACTGTTTTCAGACAACTCTAAGGCTATGTTCTTACAATTTTATACTGTTTTTGCATTTTTGCATCCT